AACACTCAATAAGCATAACTTATTTTGTTTAATGTTTATTTATTTTGGGGAGACAGAGAGACAGAGTGGGGGAGGGGCATAGAGAGAAGGAGACACAGAATCTGAAGCAGGCTCCAGGCTCTGAGCTGTCAGCACAGAGCCTGACGCGGGACTCGAACCCACAAAGCGCGGGATCATGACCTGGGCCGAAGTCAGACACTCAACCGACTGAGCCAATAAGCGTAACTTATTACTGTTGAAAGGAGCCATACGTAGTAGCCAGTATTTGCCCATTCTGACCGACAGAAAAGGCCGTTTTGTGTAGTTCAGTGTAATATCATCACATCACGATTGGTCATTAGCTGGGACGGGATAGGAAGACAGGTCTGTTACACAATGAAAACCCCGCTTTCAGTTTCTATGTTGTCTGGGCTTCTATTTGCTCTTGATAACTCCAGGCTTCCTGTGTGGCCCCCTCTGCTGAGTATGCTGGAAGGAAAAGCCCAGGTGTACCGAGTGGCTTAGCTTTGGGCAGGGTGTAGGGCCTGTCTTTCCCACTGAACTCAGTCAGCAGCACGTTGTGGGTGTGGGCTCGGAGCAGGGAGCAGGGTCTCTCCGCCTGCCCTTTGCCCCGGGTTGATCTAGGCCAGAGGGCCTGGCCCATCTTGGAACACCTGTTGCATTCTCAACCCATTCCAGCCTCCTGGCACTTCCCTGGGGAAATTACTTTCCCTCCGAGACCTGGGTTTCCTTCCTGAGGGAAACCTGGGTCTGTCCTGGTTGCCTCTGGACAGGTGGGGTGCATTCCAAGGTCTGACTGGACCCTTACTGTTCCCTCAGCTGGGCCTGCTGGTTGACCTCTCCCCAGACGGCCTTATGATCCCCGAGGACGGAGTTAACGATGAGGAACTGGAGGCCGAGTTCTTGGCCTTGGTGGGGGGCCAGCCCCAAGTCCTGGAGAAGCTCAAAGGCAAAGGTGAGACTCTCAACACACCCCTGAACATTCTCTGAGCACCTGCTGTGGGCAGGACTCAGCCCTGGGCCCTGGGGAGAAGGGGGAAAGGAGACGGAGAAGGTCTCTGCCCTCCTAGAACCCGCAGCCTGGGTTAAGAGGTTAAGCGATCAGCTCTGGACCCAGAGTGAGGGTTCAAATCCCAGTTGTGCTGCTTACTGGCTGTGTGACTGATGAGTCCCAGCACCTGTGTGGACTTCGGTTTCCCCGTCTGTAAAATGGGAATAATAACTGCCCTTAGTCACAGTAGTTCATCTTCTCGTGTGTGTAAAGTACTTCACACAGGGTCTCACATTTCCTCCAACACGCTGTCCCATGATCAGGTTGGGGTGAGGGAAGCACAGAGGGATGGGGGAGACCTGTGAGCTGGGGCCAGGTGCCCGCAAGAGACACCCACAATAAGGATGGTCAGCAGAAGAGCTAGAAAGTACGGCTGGGAGGCCCAGCGCATGCCAAGCCCTCCCCCCTCCCCCCGTGGGAGGTGACAGGGTCAGCAACATTGCAGTGGGGTTTGGGGCTGGAGCTCCAAGGGGAGACGGAACCTTTATACTTGTTAGCTAATTCAGTCCATTCTCGTTATTAACGGATTCTATATTTGTGAATTCACCAACGGGCTAAACTTTATTGGTAACACCAAAATCAATAGTCGGGGAGGTTTGGCAATTCCTTGCGGGCGTGCACAGAGCTGCAGAAAGTTTGAGTCGCTCACCTTACGCGGTCCCAGCTGAGAGAGAGCAAGATGACCGTCGGCCTTCTTGTCTCAGGGCTTCAAGTAAACACGTGTCCTTCTCACAGTCTGTGTAAGGCTGCATTTTGCTCATTTTGGCATTCTTTGTGGGTACTCTTTGTGTGGTACATTTTGCTGTTCAGAATGGCACTAAAGTCTGGCGCTTAGAGCTGTCTCGTGTCTTTAAGGGCAAGAAGTTTGTGATGCGTCTTATGGAGGAAATACGCTAGCAGATAAGCTTCATTCAGACACGAGTAGCCTCGAGTTCAATGTTAACAAACCAACAACATATATTTAAAAAGGTATAGTTAGATAGAGGCACGCATTGAACAAGGTTACGCATCGGCCGGTTGACGAAACTGTGCCCAGAGGCTCATGGGATCCTAACCTTGTATTTCCTCTAGGGGCAGTGGTCCAGTACTTGCTAAGTCAGTGTTGAAGGCACTTTTATAGGACGTAGGTAATGCAAATAATGAGAATAATTCGAATGACAAAGCGCTGATGACGTGCTTTTCTAGAACTTCATTTACCTTGAGTCCTCACGATGCGTGTGTGAGGGAGAAACTTGCCCTCGTCTAATAGGTGGGAAGACTGAGGCCCAGGGAGGTCACGTGACTTGCCCAGGGCTCCACAGTAAGAAAGCTGCAGAGCCAGGGTTGGAAGTCCGGCTTGATAAGCACGAGAGGAGGCCGGCAGGATTAGCGGGATCATACCTGGTGGGCCCGAGGGCAGTAGGGTGCCATGGAAGGGCCAGTAGGGGGGCATGCGGCCCTATTCTTTAGGGCCATGGGTAACTGGGACAGGAGGCTGGGGACACTTTTTTTTTTTTTAATGTTTATTTATTTTTGAGAGAGA